TTTATTGCCAGGTACTTCCAGATACTTCACTTGACTAAACTGCAACCTAATTAAACCACATCCATTACTGCCTGTCTTTCTTCCTGCATGGCTGGACAAGGTGGAGTTGAGGACTGGAGACGGGAGGGGATGGTTAACTTGTGCCCCCCCAGATATATACTGTTCATTCATTAAAATCTATATGTATAATTTGTTAATTAAACCAGTTAAATAACTCCCTCTTTCAGGCATTTTACAGTAATCGTTTTTGTTACGTAACAATTTATTAAAGAAAAATACCAAACCCCCCCCCCTTTTTTTTTAATAAGAATTTCAAAAGGGCACTCTGCCAACTCTTTCAAAAAACACCATTATGGGCATGATCATGCAAGGGGCCAAGTACCCTAAACTCCCACTGGAGACTGGGAGCAGTCAACACCTGGCAGCATAGGGTTCTTTTTCATGCTACAGCAGGACAAGTAATGAGACTGGATATGACACTCTAGAAGAGGATGGGTTATCTAGAATATTAAAATATAGTGCAGTTCCCTACTCCCTGTGGGTACGTGCAATTTCAGGAATTTTATGAGCAATCATCTCTTTATGTGTGATTGTTGCAGACAACTGACTTGAACATTTACATTTGTTCCATGGTATATTATCCTCCATGTCTCTATATGACAAGATAGTTTTCTTTCAACAGAGTGACCTGCAGTTTTACAGTTCTGTTTTTAAATATTCTTGCATTTATACCAATGAAATACTTTAAGAAACAAGCATTTATCATTAAACTATTGCGCTTGAATCTTATTTTCTGGAGGGGTTTGTTTATTTGTTTGTTTTAAAAAATTCCTTGCAAAATGAACACACTGTGCAGGGATATAAAAACAAAACAAAAAATTACATAGACCTACAAATGCAAAATGAGTACAGGACAACATAAAAGTGATTAATCTTTGCCCAAGGAAGCTCTGTGATCTGTTAACATCAAAAGGTTTAGGAGGTCCATTTAGGCATTCTGCGGTTTGGTTGGTTAGAGTACACAGTATCACAGTACTTTTCATCTTCACAGTGCTTTACAAAAGTTAACTGATTCTTCACAACATCCCTGTGAAATAATTAAGCATTATTATCCTCCCCCACTCTTTTCTTCCCTCCCAGATGAGGAAGCTGACACTGAGAGTTTAAGTAAGGTGCTCAAAGCCATGGAGCGAGTCTTGTCAGATCTAGGAGTACAACTCTGGGCTTTGACTCCCAGTTCTGTGCCAGGCCTCAAATCCCTCCAACCTTCTCTTCAAAGATCCGTTGTCCTCCATGACCTCTCCTCCCAAGCAGGCCTACAACTTTCTGTGTATCTACATATTTTGATCTCTACCAGGCACCACTTTCTAGCCTAGCTGATCTCACAGAGGAGGCTCAGCACAACTCTAAGCTCTGTGCTAGATCCTCTATAGTTCAGTTAGTGGGCACCCCATTAAATAGTTTAGGTAATCCCTAGCTCTGCACACAGACTAAATCCCACACTGGCTCCCAGCAGATGGCGAGGGCAAGCAATCCATCATTTTCCATGTTTAGACTAGCATGGAAATTCTACCCCTATTCAAGAAAGTCTGGGAGTTAGACTGGAAGCCGGAATTAATTCACCCTTGACTAGACTGGATGTTACCAAGTGCCTACTATAAAGCACAGGGTTACAAGTATATATGACCTCTAGGAAGCTACTGTGACAAAGAGGAAGTAAAAATCGTAAGCCTCAAATCTGTAATTTCCAGGATTTCTTCATGTACCAAACTCCCAAGAATGGATACAACGGGTCAGTCTCTAAAGGTGTCGCAGTTTATTTCAATGAAGCAGCGCAGTATTCACGGGACCCTAAGCTCAGCTATCTGAAATTCTTTGGCGTGTAAAGTTCAGTTAGAACTCTCATGAAAACAAGCTCTCTGGCAGTCGCCTGTACTTTGGCTGTTGGCCCCAAATAGAAATGAAAAGAAGAAAGGTGAACCAGATTTTTCTGTACTTCAACATTCAGACAAAGGAACACAGGTCTGGATTACTTTTTATTGTAGCCAAGCCAGCTGAATTTATCCTTCGTTATCAAGGTGGGCTTGATACTAAAGTGCTTTCTGTGAGGTGCTGAGGACCCAAAACTTCCATTGACTTCAGTGGGAGTTGAGTGCTCTGTACTTTGCAGAATCAAGAACACATGCCATTAATGTGTCAGCACATGAGTTCTTTGAATTACATGATATTGTATCCTGTGTAATCAAAACATGGAAAGGTTTGTTTTTCCAGAGAGAGGTGGCTCAGTTATGCAACCATCCAATGAAGCAACGTGCAAGAAAATGTGCAAAGCAAAATGAGAAATACATCTTTTCTACAAAGAAAAGATGATTCCAATTTTTTTTTAAAAAAACTAATAGCTAATGCATCTAAAAACAAAAAGTATCAGATACCAAAGATGCTTTCATTTCAAAGCATAAGCGCAATAACTAAAACAAATTAAACAAAAGAAAAAAAAACCCTGTTACCATACCAAAAATAGATCAAGGCCCTCTAGAAAGGTAAAATAAGCCATTTCTCACATGTTATCAAAGAACAATATGGTAATTAATTCAGAATAGAATTAAAATGAAAACTAACAGCAAGTGCAGTTGAATACGATTTCGCTAGGGATGAGTTTTCACAGCACAAAAGCTACAGGACCTTCTCTGGTAAAGATTTTCAGGATAGTAACATATTGTTGTACAACTTTACACGACATTAAGGACCAGATCCTGATTCTGCTGTGACACAGTTCCTTCAGTTAGGCAAGGCAGGTTTGGACACGCTGGGCCAGATTTGCTGAACTAACTGTTAGACACCTAGATACCTTTAAAAATTTGGTCCATAATTCTTAACTACTGCTAAAAGTGCTAATGAAACACAGTGAAGGTACCCACTGAATTTAGAATTACAGACTCAGTCATGTGCATCAGTGTATTTAAGGTAAGTTCATTTTGCAAAAAACATTATGAAAAAGTAAAAGCCATTTGAACCCTGCTAGTGTATTTGTCTTAATGTTTGTGAAATATTTTGAAAACAGTCTCCTGCCTAGTAATGGATAAGTAGCCAACAAAATGTAATTGTCAGCAATATTGTATATTTTAAAATGTAACCCTAGAGCTCCCTCTCTCAAGGCTTGAGTTCAGTGTTCAGCATTTCTGCAACTCCACAAAGACCTGAGCAAGGTAGAATGGATCAGAGAAGACTGAGGGCAGCACAGTTTAGCACTGCTGCAGAAATGTGCAGAACGTGCTCCCTCAGCACCTACTACTTATATGCAGCACTGAGCCCTGGTCTACATGGGGGGGGGAAAGGCGGGTTTTGGGGCGAGGAGAGAAGAGAATCTAAGTTACGCAACTTCAGCTACGTGAATAACGTAGCTGAAGTCGACGCACTTAGATCGACTTACCGTGGTGTCTCCACCACAGTGAGTCGACTGCTGCCGCTCCTCCGTTGACTCTGCCTGCGCCTCTCGCAGCACTGGAGTACAGGAGCCAATGGGAGAGCGCTCGGAGACGGATTGCTGCCCGCTGATCCAGCAGGTAGTGAAGACATACCCATAGAGGGTGGCTTGCAACAGCCACAAGCCAGACGTGATCAGGAGAGTTTTATGACAACATTTACCCAGGCTTCAGCATGGAAGGTAAAACCTTCCTTTTAACCTTGGGTAAAACCTTTCTTTATCCCCTTCCCACTAGTGTAATCTCAAAGGACAAGGGAGAACTGGGGCCTAAATTAAAATACAAGAAACAACCAGAGCCAGGATATTTTGGGGGACCCCTTAAAATAGCTGAAAGGATTTCCAACTTCAAAAAGCTGGCTTAAGAGTGCGGAAGTGAACTCTGATCTCGTCTAAGCTCCTCTATACCGAATTTCAGCCCAAAGTAAGATTTTATGGCTAAAATAATTTCTAGGCTCTGGCCAGATATTCCACAGACTTCACCTCACATTTCTAGCCAAAGTCAAAGCTCTATCCCAACCAAACTCTAGACTGTCCTCTAACAGGCCCGTCACCTGATGCCTCTGCTTCTCCCAGGTGTCCCTCTTAAACAACCCATTCTGATTCCTTGTACTCATCTTCACACCTTCTTTCACACTGCTATTTATGCCTGACCTTCCGTGTCCCAATTTGCATTGCAAGCAGCCAACTTTCTTTACTCAAATCTTGCCTAAAATCACATACACACACTTTTTTCTGCAATGATAATCTCCCTAAGGAAAGAAGGCTTTGGTTATTAGAAGAATCAGTAGAAGAATCTTCTAGATACCATAGTTGCTCTTTGGAAATCAAACCATCAGTTCATCATCCAGTGTACGTCACATTATGACTCTGAGCGGATTTTCTTTACTAAATTACAAGGCAAGTCAGTCTCTTGGAACATGGACCAGATGTTCCAGTCTGCTGTGTGTACAACAAACTTCATCAATGATTTGTAACTAGAACACTAATAGAGCCTTACAGCTATGCTATAATAAAACAAGTCCTGGTCCATGTATCAAATCCAGGTCCACATTTCAACTCCATGTCAGATTATGACCCTTGCTAGAACAATCAGTAAAACATACATTCAGTCAGTAACCTTATGATTTAGAGTTACTAACAATCCACGTATCAGATCATTTCTGGAACAGTTATCCCGATAACAGATTACAAAAAGGGAGACTTACCATAAATTGTTTGAATGGGGACTTTCGGAATCACAGTTAAGTGATTTACAACCCAGGTAATTTTTCTTAAGGCAGGATCCCCCAGGGTATAAGAAAAGGCTCCTTAGAAAATCTCCATTTCAAAATCCTACATATTCTTTGTTTTCTTGTTTCAGAAGGAGAAACCAACATTTTAATGGTTGATCATACTAGTCTAAACCACAACATATAATTCTATACAAACTAACCGGAACTCTTTTTATACAAAGAAAGCTCATTCAAGATCTGCCTAATATCCTGGTGTTCCCAATTAATGAATTATGTCACCTTACCTTTAGATAGAAAGCCCAGCATAAGCACATCTGCATCTGCCTCCAACTCCAGATTGAACACATCATTTCCATGGCTCAACAAGCCTTCAAGATTCTCCTCCTTCCCATACTGAAAATGTATTATCTCAAATCTGCTAAGAAACAAATAAATAAAATCATCAGTTCCTCCTTTCCCCACCGCCAGCAAAAACGGCGATGTTGTGAGGACACTGGACCTAATGGGAAGCAAAAGAAAAAGGTCTGTGAAACGCATGCAATATGAAACGCAGGTCTTTCGCTATTTAACCATAGCAACTGCAACAATTCCATGACAGTCTGGAAGGGATTTTCTTACTCTGCAGAGGATGCTAAATGAGACTTCTAAAATGGTATCCTCCATTAAGATAATTATGGGGGGAAAAAAAACATTCAACTATACATGAAAGCTACAGCTATATTAAGACTTCAGCTGGCAGCACAATTTGCTACAGAGCAGAAGACATGGATTCAGTATCAAATACAGGATTTCTGTCTTCCCACAAAGCCAGAGGTGACACAAAGGGAATGACAACTTCTGCAGAAGGCAAACAGAACTCATTCTGTGATCCTTCTCTGAGATTGCCCATCCTGTGGCATGAACAAGGACAGTGAACAGAGGCAGGGGATTAAAAGTGGAAACAACTGCATCTTCAAATGACAGGTTGTCCTTACTAGACTGGCATGAGTTTGGGATGGGTGTTCTGTTTTTCTTAATTTATACTAACCATGAAGGAAGTCTCAGAAAGTGACTGGTCAACATGATTATATAAATCCTCAAAAGGAGGCATGTGGCACATCTTTTTAATAACAATTCACAAAAGTCTACCAGGAGAAATCAAAATCCACAAGGGCAGCAGACTGAGCAGAATAAAGAGGGATTCAATATCCTGAACTCCAAGGTTGACAATGTCCAGAGGGCAAGTACAGAGGATGGGAAGCAAGAGCCTACGCTCAAATGCCAAAATACTCCCTGCCTCAAATCAGACAAAAACAGTCAGCTTTCGATACGTGCACTTTGCACAGGCAGAGGAAGCAAAAGAGGAAAGAAAAGGAGAACAGTACTGAGCATAAACATAATTTTTTACTTATAAATGTAGGATGAACTGTTAGCAGATCTCATCTGCAATCAAACAGTGGATCATTTCAGAAAACTACTTCAATGAAATTTAATTAACCCTTTAATACTTGGTGGTAAACTGTGGAAAAAATAGATATCTAAAATTTAAAAAAAGAATATAAGTGAAAGATTAAATATATAGGAGGGTTTCCTTTATGGGTGCAATTTGTACTTACATATTTGAAACTCTAAGTGAATCGCAGAAACAAATCTGACTATGACTGTTGCTCCTCTCATTACCTGATGGGGAGTGCAAATAAGCTGGAGGCACAAGCAATTAATTTTGCAGGCGTAAATTGCATCCACTAACAGACTGAAAAAAGTTAATTAAAAATACACTCATTTTTCTGGAAGAAATTCTATTTAGACATAAAAATCAGAAAACAAACTACGCAGGGATCTTTCATTTCCCCTCAGCTTTATTACTAACTGCATTTGTAAGATAAAGGGATTTTTGTTCCATCTGAGCTTTGCTGCTCCTGCTGCTGATTTCCCACCTGAAATCATAATAGTCTGTTTGTGATGTCTTGGTTGGTTGTGTGAAGAGGAGCACAGTAGGTCATCACTGACTGAGGAGGAGAACTTCAAGTGGGAATATGCAGGATCAGAAAGACTCCTATAGAAACAAAGATCTCAAAAGCCTCAGCTCAAACGGCCTGTAGTTTTAACTCTATTTAGTCCATGATGGTAAACTTGATCTCTCATTTGTCTGCGTCTCTCTCAACCATTCTTTGCCTTTTTCTTTGCCTCAGCTTCCATAGGAAATACGCTCTGTGCTGAAAGACCACTATCCTGTCCTTCAAATCCCTCCTCGAGGCCCACTTCTGCCATAATGGCTACACAAACTAAGTCAATTCACAACAGCATGAGAGTGGAGCAGTTTGGGATAGCCAATATTTACACAGGTTTTACAGTGTTATATTCTGATTTTTAGAGTTTTATTCTTCTCCTCTACCATTTGAATCTTTCTGGTATTCTTCGATTGTAAACTCTTCTGAGCATATGCCTTACATATATGTTCAGAGTTTATAGCACATTGTGTGCACTACCATGCTACAAACAGCAGTAGTTATGTACAAATAAATCCTAGCCAGCCGCAAACAATGCTTTTTGAAAAGGTAACAGTGGGTAATAATTTAACTAATATTATGTAATTCTTTTAACATTTTACAGCAACAACAAGCTGGGACTGTATGCCCGGGATGGATCACTTGATAATTCCCTTGTTCTGTTTGTTCTCTCTAAAAAACATCTGGCATCGGCTACTGTCAGAAGATAGGATACTGGGCCAGATGGAGCATTGGTCTGACCTAGTATGGCCATTCTTATGTAAACATATGTCAAGGTTCCTCCCCCATGCTGAACTCTAGGGTACAGATGTGGGGACCTGCATGAAAAACCTCCTAAGCTTATCTTTACCAGCTTAGGTCAAAACTTCCCCAAGGTACAAAATATTCCACCCTTTGTCCTTGGATTGGCCGCTACCACCACCAAATTAATACTGGTTACTGGGGAAGAGCTGTTTCGACGCGTCTTTCCCCCCAAAATACTTCCCAAAACCTTGCACCCCACTTCCTGGACAAGGTTTGGTAAAAAGCCTCATCAATTTGCCTAGGTGACTACAGACCCAGACCCTTGGATCTTAAGAACAATGAACAATCCTCCCAACACTTGCACCCCCCCTTTCCTGGGAAATGTTGGATAAAAAGCCTCACCAATCTGCATAGGTGACCACAGACCCAAACCCTTGGATCTGAGAACAATGAAAAAGCATTCAGTTTTCTTACAAGAAGACTTTTAATAAAAATAGAAGTAAATAGAAATAAAGAATTCCCCCCTGTAAAATCAGGATGGTAGATATCTTACAGGGTAATTAGATTAAAAAACATAGAGAACCCCTCTAGGCAAAACCTTAAGTTACAAAAAAGATACACAGACAGAAATAGTTATTCTATTCAGCACAATTCTTTTCTCAGCCATTTAAAGAAATCATAATCTAACACATACCTAGCTAGATTACTTACTAAAAGTTCTAAGACTCCATTCCTGGTCTATCCCCGGCAGAAAACCAGCATAAGACAGACACACAGACCCTTTGTTTCTCTCCCTCCTCCCAGCTTTTGAAGTATCTTGTCTCCTCATTGGTCATTTTGGTCAGGTGCCAGCAAGGCTACCTTTAGCTTCTTAACCCTTTACAGTGAGAGGACCTTTCCCCTGGCCAGGAGGGATTTCAAAGGGGTTTACCCTTCCCTTTATATTTATGACACGCCCCCCAAATCTCAGCTAGGGTGAAACACTGGCTGGGATTTCTTCCTGGAGCTCGAGGAAAAACAGAGTTAATAAGACACATGCATCTCTAAATATACTACCAAGTACATAAAGACTAACAATATTTTCTACATCTCAAGGACGATTTTAACCAGTTGATTCTGGGAAACTTTCACGGGAGAGTGCATCAGCCACTTTGTTAGAAGCTCCTGAGATGTGTTGGATGTCGAAATCAAAATCTTGGAGAGATAAACTCCACCGAAGAAGTTTTTTGTTAGTTTCTTTGACGGTGTGAAGCCACTTCAGTGCAGCATGGTCGGTTTGCAGGTGGAAACGCCGTCCCCAAACATATGGGCGTAGCTTTTCCAGAGTGTAGACAATGGCGTAACATTCTTTTTCAGTGACTGACCAGTTGCTTTCCCTCTCAGACAGTTTTTTGCTGAGAAACACTACAGGGTGGAATTCTTGATCAGGTCCTTTCTGCATTAAAACTGCTCCCACACCACGCTCGGACGCATCTGTGGTTACTAGGAACGGTTTGTCAAAGTCTGGGGCCCTTAGTACAGGGTCAGACATGAGTGTCACTTTAAGCTTGTTAAAGGCCTTCTGACACTTTTCGGTCCACTGAACAGCATTTGACTGTTTCTTTTTGGTTAGGTCTGTCAGTGGGGCGGCGATTTGGCTGTAGTGCGGTACAAATCGTCTGTAATAACCGGCCAAGCCTAAGAAGGATTGAACCTGTTTCTTTGACTTTGGGACAGGCCACTTTTGGATAGCATCCACTTTGGCCTGTAGGGGGCTGATAGTTCCTTGACCCACCTGGTGTCCAAGGTAAGTCACTCTGTTTAGGCCTATTTGACACTTCTTAGCCTTAACAGTTAGTCCTGCCTCCCTTATGCGCTCAAGGACTTTTTGTAAATGTTCCAGGTGGTCTGCCCAGGAATCCGAAAATATGGTCACATCGTCAAGGTAGGCGACTGCATATTCTCCTAATCCCGCTAGGAGACCATCTACAAGTCTTTGGAAAGTGGCGGGTGCATTTCGCAGCCCGAAAGGGAGTACATTAAATTGATACAGCCAGAGATGTGTGGTGAAGGCTGACCTTTCCTTGGCAGATTCATCTAGCGGTACCTGCCAGTACCCCTTGGTTAAGTCCAAGGTAGAGATGAACTGGGCCCGTCCCAGTTTCTCTAATAGTTCATCTGTGCGTGGCATTGGATAGTTGTCTGGGCGAGTTACAGCATTTAGCTTACGGTAGTCCACGCAAAAACGTATTTCCCCATCTGGTTTGGGAACTAGAACCACTGGAGATGCCCATGCACTTTCAGAGGGGCGGATTACACCCATCTGTAACATATCCTGGATCTCCCGTTCTATAGCAGTTTTAGCTTGAGGAGACACCCGGTAAGGTTGGACTCTAATTGGGTGAGCATTACCTGTGTCAATGGAGTGGTATGCCCGTTCAGTCAGTCCTGGGGTGGCTGAGAACGTTGGCGCGTAGCTAGTGCACAGCTCCTTGATCTGCTGTCGCTGCATACGCCCAAGGGTCATGGAGAGGTTCACCTCTTCCACACCACCAGTACATTTCCCTTCGTAGTAGACACCTTCAGGCCACTCAGCGTCGTCTCCTCCCTGGGCTGTAAACTGACAAACCTTTAATTCTCTGGAATAAAAGGGCTTTAGAGAATTAATATGGTACACCTTAGGCTTTCGGCCGGAGGTGGGGAATGC